GCAGCTGTAGTACTTAGGATAGCAACTACATGCTAGCTCTGATAGAAACTTGACCTTATACCTTGTAATACTATAAGTCATTCTAAATATTAATCAGTTTCATGTAACCCTAAGTACGTAAAAAAGGAAAAAAACGCACCATTAAATTTTATCAATAAATATTAATCAGTTTCATGTAACCCTAAGTATGTAAAAAAAGGAAAAAAAAAGACCTAGTTTTACACATTACATTCATTTTTTTATTTGCCAAAGGAAGCATGTGCTTGCCAGAGAGAGAAAGAGAGAGAGAGACAGAGATAGAGAGGAGAGAGAAAGTACTCCTACGGGACATGGCCAAATTGCTATCTTTCTCCTGCAGTTCACCATCCTGTCAGAATTTCAGACATGCATACATATGTACCCATCATGTTTTTCACACTGCCAGGTCCAGGATTTGAACCAAATGGTCAACCATGTGGAATCTACCTCACTTAGCCACTAGGTCGCAGGCTCATCCAAGTTATCTTTTAAAAAATAAGAAAAAAAAAGTTTATACATTTATTTCTTCTGAAAGAGAAAGAAACAGAGACAGAGAGACAGAGAAACAGGAACCCCAATAAAGTCTTCATACCTTGATCCACACATGGTCCTCAGCCTGGATCAAAGACACTCCATCGTGCTCTGGGAGGTTCCTGGACATGAACCAGGACCCTTTCCCTGCGAGTCCAACCGTGTTCTCTCTATGGTACCCAGCCCTACACAGGTTACTTTAAGGAGACCATTTCATTGCTAAGAACTTTTAGGAATTATTATACTGCTTATGAAAACTTTTTTCTCCACGTGACTAAGTGACACTTAAAAAGCTTATCATTTTGAAATGGTCTCTTTGCATATAATCAAGTGCTTGTAAAAGGTGTTCTTAGTATTCATTTTCTTAAAAAAGAAATCAGGGGAGCAATACTCAATGGTACCAATTTATATTTAAAATCCTTTTAATAACAATTCTGTTTGATTCAGTAATCAAGTCATGTATTTGAAAAGGTGACAATCAAACTTTATTCTGAACATTAGTAAGTTATGGGATTAATATATGTGTGAGGCCTAGTTAATATATTCAGTTATTGAAGCTAATGAATGGAACTAATGAAAAGAAATTTAGTACCGTTATCTGCAGTCTCTAGGAATTTCCAACCACGACTTCCAACTGGTTTGATGAATAACTGTGAAAGTGGTGCATTACAGAGATATAAAGATAATGACCTCTTAATTTAGATGTTAAGTGTTAAGCACCAAAATAAAGAGAAACCAATAAAAACTCATATTTTAAAATATTATGCAAATAATCAGCAGTCCCTGTTCTCTTAGTAATCAGGCATGTCTCATTAACTTTCATAGATCTGAGACAGGAAGACAGGGAACATTTTTTAGAACCATGCAAGTCTGAGGTTCAAATCTTGGTTAGATCATTAAATAGTTAAATGATCCTGGGCAAGTTACTTGACTTTTCTGAGTCTTTTTGAAAGTACTAATGTGGAATAACACACCTGCCTTATACACATTCAATGTGAAATAAAAAGTACAAAACATCCATTGGATTGGCATACACTCTGCCATCAAATAAAGGTCTTTTCCCAGGACCAGCAGTTAGCGTAATGGCTATGTCACTGGACTCCCACGTAGTCGACCGCGGTTCGAGTCCTGAACCTGGTGGCTTAAACTCACGCTGGGCACATGTCCATGCGTGCCCCAGATCCCGAGAGAATAATGTAGGAGAAGGGATTACAGCGTGGCCATCCCCTCTGGGGGGTGATTTCTCACTTTCTGTCTCTCTGTTTCTCTCTGTCTGGGGAGCGCACGCGCCCTATAGCAAAAACCTCTCCACAAAAGAGGGAGAGAGAGAGAGAAAAAAAAGGTCTCTTCGTTTCTATTGTCTTCAGTAAAGATGAAGTAATGTGAAGTTTAGAGATAAGCTTTTTAAAAATTTCTTATTAAGAAAAATAAATTTATTTGCTTTAGTTTTATATATAATATTTTAAAATACTTTGGTTGTTAAAATCATCCTCTAAGTGTTTTATAGGCTTTCTTTCACTTAAAACATGTAAGTGCTATCCAAGTCAAATTCTTGTGGAACTTTCAGTAGAATAACCGATGGCAAGAATGAGCAGTACCAATCTAAATGTAACCGAAAGAAAAAAAAAGATACAATGGGACGAAATGGAGATACAGCAGACTTAGATTTATCTATTATCAAAATCATTTTAACAAGCATTTATCTTCTTGCTAGGTTATCCCTTCCACTCTCAACTGGAGTGGGGAAAAGGTCTTTAAAATATAGACTTACATGGCTCTCTTGGGTGGTCTATGAAGATAAAGCTGAAGAGAGAGACAGAAAGAAAATTAAAGGTGTCAATCACAAAGGAGATAAGGAATTCTAGGACCAGAAAGCATAAAGCAGTCGCTGTTAGGACTAGTCAAGTGAGGCGGAAGAGAGGAAAGTTCCTAGAAACTAAACATAGTAGGGTCCAAAAATGGTGGTGGAATAGAACAATGAGAATCGATAGGTAAGTTCTGAAGTAAAAACTGAAAAATCATGTAATAGGGAAGTAGAGAAGTAGGGACAGGAGTTTAAAAAATAATGCACGTGTTTGTGTGTATGTGTGTGTAGTCATATATACATATACATATATATATATATATATCATGATAGTGAGTGTACATGCACACACTAAATTAAGGATTAAGAGAGAGAGGAAGAGAAAGCATCCTCAATGGGGCTGTGGTGTACTCCATGAGTCTATGGAGTGACCCCTTTTCTGAACTCTCTAATCCTTTGGGATCTTGTGCATCTATACGTGAGCCTGGCATGTTTTCAGGCCAACCTGGGGATCTGAACCCACAAGAGGGCATATGGTTTCCATCACTACAGTCCAGTATACGATGGACTCCACCACCTTGACTGGGCCTCGAAAAAACATTTTAGTTAAAGAAATGTGTGTACATGAGAACCAGCACAAAGCCTAAGTGGCTTCACATGTTATCTTAGACCCTTGTACCATCATCTCTATCAAGAGAACATTTTGAATGCTCAGAAACTTTAACGATCCTTCTTTCAAATATTGCCCATTACTCCCATCTTAGTTCATTTGCTCTGCTAGAACAAATATATGCAGTGTAATTTAAAAACACAGGATTATATTGCTTACAGTTCTGAAGGTAGTGAAGTTCAAGGTCAAGGTGCCAGAAGATTCATTACCTTATGATTCAGTATCTGTCTGCTTTGTTGATCACACCTTGTTGCTGTGACCTCTCATTACTAAAAAGAACCAAGGGTGCCAGTGCCTCTTTTTTGGGGGCACTAATTCTATTCAGGAGGATAGAGCTCTCATGACACTGTTATCTCTTCTTAAAGACTCCACCTCTCACTACTATCACATTGGGTAGTCGCTTCCAACATATGAATTTTGAGTGGATACCAACTTTCAGACCACAGTATTTTCTTTACAAAATTACCACTCCTGTGACTTCTGAACCTATCAACTAGCTCTGTCTAATTTTGAAGTTCATATGAATGCCTATATAAACATTTTGGTATGTTTAGCTTAAAACGTGCATGAGAGTCACCTATACTATATCTATTGTTTTTTTTTGGGGGGGGACTTTCTTTTCATTTCAGCACATTATTACATTTTATGAAAAATTATAACTATTTGGGTTAAATTTTCATTTGATGGCTATTACAATAAATACTACTCTGAATATTCTTATATATCTCTTTGGTGAGCATTTATATACATTTCTGTTAAGTATATCTATTACAAGTAGAGCTCTTAGATTACAATATATGTATATATTTATTCCTAATCAATAATGCCAATTTCCAAAGGAGTTGTATCAATTTGGCATATTCAGACATCAGCATGCAGTTTCTTTTGCTTTTCATCCTCACTAATAGTTGCTATTATCTGTCTGTAATTTAAACCATTCTTCCTACTTTCTGGCGGTAATATGTTATAGTTTTAATTTGGACTTCTCTGATTACGGATGAGGGAGAGAATATTTAAGATGTTTATTAGCTCTCTAGATATCTTCTTTTATGAAATGCTTATTTAAGCATGTTGCCCATTGTTCTAATGGATTATCTGCATTTACTGATTGGTTGTAGATGGAATAGAAATTGATTACAGAGGAGAAAGAATTTCCAGTGGTCATCAAAGAGAAAAAAATTAAATAAAAGAAAGAATGATCAATCATATGACTTTGACTCAAATAATGAATTTAGGATGTTGAAGCTTTTCTTCACTGAGGAGAAAGCCTGAGATGATAACCAGTAGGGAAGGCTGAGGAAAACGAAACATAAGGTCAGGTTAAAGGTCCATGAGAACATATCTTAAACCGATGTCTCTTGAGAGAGTTTTTATGTTATTGGCCAATTTATCTTTTTAGAGCTATGGCCTTATTTCTATATTTCCATACTTCTTGTTTTCTACTATTTCTACCAAGAATTT